CTATTACAATACAACAGTAGACCTAAGATAATGAATCCAATTCTACCTGTCTAGCACTTATTTGCTCATCTTTTTTCCTTCGAGACATTTCGGGAACGCAATTCCTCCTCTAAACTAGCTGTCGGGCTAGACATGGGATTTGCTATGTCAAATAAGAACACAGGTTCACAACATATAGTGTAACATTTATTACCAAAGTATAATCTTTTTTTTCCCATCTTTACATAAAAGCATTTCAATCATCTCTTCTTTACTACTCAGGGAATAGAGCTAAACTACACTCCACTACATACTGTATAAACATGAAACAATTAAATGAACGCGAAACTACTATTAAAACAGAAACCACACTATGTTAAGTTTATGTTGTGACATGAAAGAACTCACTAAGTGCTAATTGCCTTCAAGAGCCTTCAGCCGCTCTGCCCCCAAACTCTGGAACTCACTTCCACCCAACATTCGTAATATTGACTCTCTTTCCACATTCAAAACCCAGCTCAAAACCCACCTATTCAGACTTGCATATCCACCTTAAATCTTTCTATTCTTTGTTTATAATTTTATCTGTGGTTTTATTATTTGCTCTTGGTGTAAAGTGTCCTTGAGTGTTGTGAAAGGCGCTTGCAAATGAAATGTATTATTATTTTTTTTAATTGCAGTCCCTCGTCATTGACTTTGTTAGCGTTAGCATAACTGCAGTCGTGAAGCCCACCACATTCTTCACGTTGGACTTTTAAGTCAACATATTACGCCAGACATACTTCTCATAAATGTCACTGACTCTTATGGAGAAAGTGGCCGTCACCTTTAAGCAAAGGGCAGCATTTCCAAACGGTGATGGGGCCGGCTGCTCCGTACTGGCCGAGACTCAGCTCCATAAGGAAGAGCGGAACGCCCGTAACAAAGAGCATGATGAAGTAGGGAAGAAGAAAGACACCTGCAAGAGTCGAAAGGGGTCAGTGGAAGGAAGGGTGGTGCCGGGGAAATATAAGTACATGGCAAGAACTGTAGCAAACTTTTTTTGCCAGAGAGGTATTATATCTCTTTGTAAAACCTGAACTTCTGATACACTATTCCTGTATTGGGTCTGACGTGATTTGGAAGTACACATAGTGTCCTGACAAGTGAGTTCATCGTTGAGGGTTTGGCCTTCACAATTACAACATATCACGTCACATGTGATAATGCACAGCATATAGGGTGTGACGTCTCTCAAGAATCATCAAAGAAAAAGATCAGTGGAGCTCAATCACCTAGCCAGGAGGCATCGCAGGATGAATGATATGCCAAAATAATTACAAGGGCAGATCACACCCAAAGCAAAGTGTCCTTTGTCCTCCAACAGGGGTGACAAATGTGCAAAAGCAAACACTACACACAATTTTTTTTCCCTTACCTCCTCCATTGCGATAGCAAAGGTAAGGGAACCGCCACACGTTGCCTAAACCCACGCAGTATCCGAGACAAGAAAGCAGGAACTCGTACTTCCCACCCCAATGCCCTCTTGAGGTGGTCACATTCGAGACGGGCTCTGGACTCTGGCCTTGTGATACAGCAGCGTGATTCAGGCCGTTTTGGCCACTCAAATGTATTGAATTCTACAAGAAAATGGCAAAAACACACAACACAAAATTGACTCACTGAGTTGAGATATAAAACTCGGGGCCACATCCACAAAGAATGAAATGCGGTCGCCGATAGCACCTTTGATTGCTCTGCCCCACCCCCAATTGCACACAGTATAAATGCAGGCTTGGCACCAACAAGGCCGTGGAAGAGACACTTTCTCTCAATTCATATTACAAGTCAATACACACCCTGTTTAAAACTGCTTACTCAATCTGTTATTTTGATCTACCGCTGTTTTTTTAATTACAATTATCAATTTGAACGATATGGTGTCCTTGAGTGCTCAGAAAGGTGCCTTCAAATAAAATGCTATAGGCTATTATTAATATTATTATTATTATTATTATTATTATTATTATTATTGTAGTAACATGAAATTATCAGAATGCGAACTCGGGGTCCTGACCGGGGAGGTGCCAACCACTGGCGCACAGAGATGCATTCGCAACTCTGCTTGGTATCACAATTACTGGACGCATTTTCACCATCAGCTACGCTATCCGTTTGCTCCATTTTTGCAGGTAAGCGCCACACAATCCTTAAGTGAATTCGGCCCTCAATTCCTAATCTCAACTGGGATTTACGATGATTGAAACATATCTCATCCACTACGCCCTCGCTGTCAAAGTTAAGAGGAACCATTTTCACATGGTGCCTCCAGGGGAGGAAGTTAAGATAATCGCAGTTCTCCTTTTAGGTGATGTTAATTTGTAAGGGATGATTGGCATATTTAAGAACCACAAATTATACAAACTGTCAGTCAGGCATAGTCTCAAAGAGCCATTAATTAGACACATTGTCAGTCAGGCAAAGTTTCAAAGATCGACTTTGGCAGGTTTCCTGATACGTCAACGTATATAAACTTGAGATGGTTTGTTCTGCTTTTTTTTCTCTTGGTGTATTTTGTGATGCTACCATATAAGGGCACCAGTGATGATGAAAAATGTGAAGACGACTTTAAGACTGAAAATGGAACAGTTGTCTCTGTCCTGAAAGCACACCCAAAAGAAACTAACTCAACGTACACAGTGTTTTGTCTTTCAGTGAAGCGAATCACCACCCAAGCATAAATGGTAATCTCGATTTGCATACTTTTCAATTGCACTATACACCGGTAAGGAATATTAAAAGGCTATTGAAAAATTTCTACTGCATCTCCAATACTTCTTATTTGCCTTTTATTTCTACGAACAAATCTGAGGTTGATCATTACCCTGGAACAGGATTGTGGACTACTTGAGCGGTTTCAGTGTAAATAAAATATGAATGTGTGAGGGCAGAAATGATTAATCCAAACAGCGATCAAAAAACTAGATTATAAAAGATGTGTTGTCAATAGAGTTAGCCTAAGGGTCAAAGTTTGTGGCTAAGCAAACCTGGTAAGATTACCGTCTGTTTTCTTTTGACAATAGATTTTTTCTGAGGAACAAGCAATGCGCCTTTCGTGGCCTGCAACCAAGACTTTAGACAGCAAAAGGACTGTCAACAATTGGCAGAAGATAAAGTAAATGGCTTCTTACAAGGAAGGAGCTTCCTTTAAATAATCGTTCATTAGTATCTTCCAGTAATGTGGTGGGCAAGATCGCAACAAACTTCACCAGTTTACTTGTGCCATTTGTAGACTTGTACACAGATCTGATTTGTATTTTGTGTCATGTTCTCAATTATAATCTCAATTATAAATACTGAGTTTGTATGGATCAAAACAACTACCCATTGAAACAAAGTTGTAGTCTTGTGTGATTGAATTAACCTCCAAATGCATTTACTTCTTAGGCATGCTTCCTGTGTACATATGTTGATGTCCAAACTATTTGTATTTTTAAAAATTGACTTTTCTTGAGGGAGGTATAGTACCCTCCTCGCCTCTACATGTTGAATTGAACAATAAAATCATGGTCCCAAAACAAACAAGCCTAATTGTACGTATATCATATGATTTAATTAGATCATTATTCATAATTAAAGCGAGATTGCGAGTCGATTCACCAAACGCATTCCAGCGCTTGTTATTGATGGAAATGTGATACTGTGGAAAAATGGGACAACATGGAAGATCAAGTGCATGAAATGAGACCAAATTTTCTCTAAAGTCGGTGAAATAACCAACCGAACATGAAAGCACATACACAAACAGCGCGACGCATAGGATGACAATTGCTGCAAATTAAAACGGTTTTACCGGTATTAATAAGTTAAACTAAAATGTGAACGGACAGGTTTGACAACTTCATCTCCGCTTTGTCTTCCAACGGGAGAGTAAGCGAAGCGATACCACTACAAATTAAACATCTTTAAAAAAAGTACAACTATATACTTAGTGACTGAAAATGAAGTTTTAATATGACCGTACCTGGGTGATGTTAGGGTTCACCAAAGAGGGACTGACGAGTTCATCTTTGCGGCCGTCGTCCCTCATCTCCAAGTTCCACCCGCTGGCACAGGTGGAACTTGACGATTGAACTAATGGTTCCACATGCAACATGGAAGGTCTACGAAGCGCGCGGTGGGGATCCTGTCGTTAAAGATAAAAAACGATGCATCGCCATTTGGTTTTGATAAAGTCTGTTAGTAAAGCGGAAACAGGCCGGTGGAGGCGGTAAGGGACGAGGAGGAGATGGGGGAGGACTTGTAAGGTGGCAGGTGCCGCGGAGAAACACCTCCTCCTTTGTTTGCCGTGACATTAATGGGAGGGGAAAGTGGAGGACGCATAAAGCCTGAATGTTTGTTTTACTACAGAACATTTTTACTGCTCGCGTACAGCATTTCCCCAAAATTTTTCAAGTACAGTCCATTTTTGAAGAGCAGTTCCGTTGTATTTGACTTTAAAATACAACGCATTTGCATTCAATCTTTAAAAGCTGTTTTATAGGAATTTTAAAAGAATGTGAGATGATACAAGGAATTTTGTGCGTTAAATATATTCTTAAACATACCCTGACATTTTAAAGCATGTTGACTTTTTCAAGACCCACAGGAAATTGTGTTCAGTGATTGCATATACACTAGTGATGTATGGATAATGGCGATATCGCAGTATCGCAAGATTAAAATTGTCACGATATTGTCGTCGTCATGCTACGATATTAAAAGCTGCACATTTCCATTGGAACCAATAGGAACACATGACAATAAAATTACTGCCCATGCCTATTTCATTGTCGCTGCTATTATTATGTACAAAAACAAAATATTGTGCTTTTTTTTCCGATATCATGACCGTTTTTTTTAAACAATGCTTTTTCACATCCCCAGTTTATAGTATTCTATTATCCCAAATTCTTCCTCACTGGTGAGCTGTGAATTGACTTTTGTCTTTCTTGGCAGCAATTTGCCAACACTTTAATCCGCATAATCTTGTGATGCTTTTCTTAACCCATCCAATCTGTTGCGGCTCTATACTTAACAGCCATGCTCGAGAAATCTGGGTCAGTGAATCGAAGCCCAAGTGTCGCATCGTGTGCTGAGCAAATCTTTAACCGAAACTCATAATTGAGAGACGTGTCTGCGCTGCGGAGCCTGCGGTTTGAAGGAATGGATGTCCAAGACCTGGCCATACGAAATTGGAGTTTGGATTTTAACAATGTCATAAAATCTAACCATCCTGTTTTCCAGGCCGAGGGAAAGTCAGATCCACATTCCAGTTTGTGGGCCGACCCAAAAAGAGTGAAAAGTTGCATTTCTCGGTCTTTCACCAGGGATGCTAGGATGAGACTAGATTTTTTAAAGTTTGGATCTAATTCTCAAGTCTTCTCCGGTGCCAAGGATGGGATGATGTTTAATGATGAAAAAGAAAAAGACCCAGGAACGCATACTGTTTTGGATTTAGTGGAGCTTCTTGAACTCAAGGATGATAAAGAGGATGACGACAGCTGGTAGGTACTAACAAATTCTACCACAAATTCTCTAGATTAAACCATTTTGACAGGGGCGGAGCTAGAACCTTTTCAGAGCGTGGGAGCTCAGGTAGGTGCGCATAGACAGGTGCCATTGGTTCTGTCATCCTTTCATCGAACAAAATGCACACATTCAGAACTTTGCCCAATGCATTCATAACACAAGCAGAGCAGAAACAGACTCAGTAAAAAGCAACGTTTTCCTGAGTTAAATTTATTCGATAATGCCTATTTTAATTCCTGTTTGCTGCGAGCCCATTGGCCACCATGTAGCTCCGCCCCCTGTATATTGATGTCACGGCCTTCTGATTAGGTCTGGTCCTTAGTCATGGACTGTTTTTTTTTTTTTTTTTTTACTGAATGAACGGGGATCGCTCACAGGCTGTACAAGTCTCCAAAAAGACAAATGTCAGCGGACAATGAGTCTCCTCTGAGATGGTGTCGACACGTCCTGGATAATCCCAGTCCTGAGACGGAGGCAGCATCGCGTTTACTTTTGGACAAACTAAATCAGAGTGAGTGACACAGATGCAACAATAGCCCTTCAAAAAAAATTGTGACAAATCCCATCACAGAATTGTACTTTTGTCTCTGCACAGAAACAAGCAGTTCCTACAGAAACATCTTTTACAGACACCCTGCAGTGCAAGATCGGACTGACAGTGCACCTGTGGATCTTCAAAATGGCAAGAAATCTTCCGACACAATAAATGACACCTCGAACAGTTCCGGTAAAAGAACCTGAATTAAATACACCAACTTTATACACTTTCTTTTTTCGATTTCGTTTCAGGTATCACTCAGACAGACGTGAGGCTATCAACATTCGACATCTTTGGCTTTGCGCTTTTTATCGGGATGAAACAAAGTTTCTCTGTCCAAGACTCCAATTTACCGCTAGATTGAAAAGGTGATAGCAATGAAGCTATCCATACTGACCTCAAGTTTTTGAGCGTCATAATCTTTTACTTAAAGCCTTGAAATAACCCAATGTCGATACGGGTAAAGCCAAATTGAGCTTGTGTTGATGCAAAATTTCAGTGCAGCCCTCCGGACAGACTTTCCTTGGCTTGCGCAAATGCCTGCTCTCGGCAAATGCTGATGGCCTCACGTCTGCCTAAATGATCCCTGCAACAAAGTCGACCAAATAAAGTGTATGTTGACTTATTGGACATACACCCAACAAATACGATCTTATGAGATCCAATGTGGACATGCAGAGCAATCACAAGCAAAGTGTTAAGCGTTATTATCTTTGAAAACAGAATTAATGATACGCCTCTTGAACTACATGTCTGTAGCTCGTTGAAGTGTACTTAACATTATGACCGCCAGGTTGCCAAGTAAACATGTCATTCATATCCCAAATAAAGTTTTCTGTATTTCAATAGATAATTGTGATCTGGGTGTGCCCTTTGAGTCCGTAACGACCAGCTACAAATTGCAGGACATCACAGATGTTCACCTTATGGCCCGCATACAAGAAGACAGTATGTCTAGCACAATTCCTCCACTTTTAATGTTGTCTCGAAGTAACTTTATGTGTTGTCCACACTGTAGGCTTGCGACAGGACTATATCTCCATGCCCGCCTCTGTTTCGGACAGAAGAAGTCCTGAGCCACAAGTAACACTTCGATCATACTTTTGTATTCGATTCCGTTGGAAGAATATTCATCTTGTTGGCGTGCTTGTGTTGTCACAGGTTAGACTTCGTCAGCAAGTCACTCAGTTCAAGTTGCTAAAAAGAGCTCAGAATCGAGGTACGCAAAGCAAACGGAGTACCTTTAGATTTCTTAGATGTCATCCATCCATCCATCCATTTTCAAATCCGCTTATCATCACAAGGGTCGCGGGTGTCCTGGAGCCTATGCCGTTTTCAGGCAGTAGACAAGGTACCCCCCCGAACTGGTTGCCAACCAATCGCAGGGCACACATAGACAATCAACCATTCGCGCTCACAATCACAACTAGGGACGATTTGGAATGCCCAATAAACCTGCCACGCATGTTTTTGGAATGTGGGAGGAAACAGGAGTACCCGGAGAAAACTCACGCAGGCACTGGGAGAATGTGCAAGCTCCACATTGGAAGACCTCTGCACTTTGAGGCCGATGTGCTAACCAAATGATCACTGTCCCGCCCAGATGTCATCCATTTTCATTTATACTGTAGATAACATTGCTTATTTACGATGAAAGAATATAGTTTGGTATAGTAAGCGGTTTGGGTAATGGATGGATGTATATGTTGGCTCTGACTTACTGTACCTCCCATCTCGGACAGAATCACCCTTGCGGACCAGCCTTCGTTCCCTGCAAGCTCTGAGAAACAGTCGCAGTTTGGACACTGATGACTGCCTGCCTGCTCATCAAACATCAAACACAGATTTTCCATCAGGTTTGGAGAAATTACCTCACCATCAAGAATCAAGATCCAGAATGTCACTTACAAATGAAGTTCCGACACCTGACAAACGCAAACAATCATAATTGGGCACATCGATGTACCCACGGTTTAAACATGACTGGATTTTGTTCATTAGATTGCTGTTTGTATGTATTATTTAATATTCACTGAAATATTCAGGAAAACAGAGTCCAAATTGTGCAAAAGTAGCCCACAAATTTAGTGGAAAACTATTTAGTAGTTATTGCTTTATGTTGCTCACACATAGTCAAACAAAACTAACACCCTAACTAGCAGTCGTCGAGAAGGGATTCCGTTATTGTGAATGAAAACACTTTTGGAGTAAACTTAAATATCTGTATCTCTTATCCGGAAGCATCTACAAACTCCAGCGACTGGTCGCACCTAGTGAGAAGCTCATCAGTCCAGAAGACGGCCACGAGGGAAGTGCAGAGGTCTCAGTCTCTCAGCCCCCGCAGGATCCCTCACTGTGCTCAGAGATATCTGTCCATTAATGCGTGTGTTTACGCCTCACCCGAGAGATCAACCACTGCAGCTTGGGGCGGCAATTTGCCATCCAGGCCAAGGTGAAGGACATCGGCAGAGATTAGGCTGACACATTAAGGGCACATAGACATGGTTAGGAATGGAGTATAAAATTAGAAATGAGATTGTACTGTATGTATTTTTGCATTAAGAGTCAATTAGAAATGTTATAACTCGAACATCACGTCAGGATCCACCATTGTTCAAGCTCACAGTTCAGTTGTTTTTAGAGCCACCCACCCCCACACCTTACCTTGATATACTGAACCTCATACAATATAAGCCTCAATTAATAAAGCTTTTTCCAGACCCAGAAATGCTGTTATTTTGATGGAGCAGTGAAAAAGCAAATTCTGTATTTTCCAGCTTCAAATTCAAATGATCACCTATGTGAGAATGAATAAAGCAAATTAGTCTTGACAAATATGAATGATTCTTATCTTAGAATAGCACACAACTAGATTGTTTAAACATTTAACAACACTGTTTATTGTTTTTCAAGCAGAATGGCCGACGTTTCACTGAAGGCATATAAACCGGTTACAGAATCAAAACTAATACAGAAAGACATGAGTCCTGATAAGGATACATAATGTCTCGCATAAATATAATGCCGAAAAGAAATGCTGAAATCCACAACGGCGGAGCTAACTTTGCAAGAAGCTGTGAAACATGGTTCAGAGAATAATGTACAATATATTTACAGTATAAACGTAAAATCCTTTCAAACACGGCGTCTTGACATCGCATCAAAAAAGTAATCTAGTCCGAGTCCATGTCACTATCTCCCCCGATGGATCTGAATTCTTCACTTTCCTCATCCTCACTGAGCTGGACCTGCGAGAGAACGGCTGGACCTCTCCTCCGTGCATCGTCCTCTTCGTCTTCTTCGTCCTCCTCGCTGTTGCCATCATCTTGTCTGTTTTCTCGCAGCTGCCACGGCTGAGACGCAAGAGGGAAAAACAGTAGGCATGAGTAGAGGCAATGTGACTCTTTAAGCACAGCCATTTTCTGTTGCGATTATCCTAATTAGGGTTGCGGGTGAGCTGGAACCTAACTCAGCTGACGTTTGGTGAGAGGTGGAGTACACCTTGGACTGGTCGCAGGCAACAACAGGTGTAACCAACAGTGTAGCTAAACAAAGAAAAATCCTTCCTGTTGCCCTACCTGCGGTGCGTATTGTGCAGGTGTTGTGTTGTGCCTTTCCAAATCCATGAATGACCATTTGCCATCCTTCTCATCATACTGGAGGCACAAAAGAGGGAGCAATTACACAATGGCAGCATACTCACAGGTGTTTAACATTTTGGTTCACTCATTTAGGGATATGAGAGGATATATTGTACTTATATTAGCAAAGGTAGGTTCTTGCTTTGAATGTAATGAAGTGGTCAGAATGTTTGGGCCCATGAAACCCCCCCCACCACCCACTAGATATCTGCATATTGCGCAATATTGCACTTGGATGTTTTTTTTGCAGTATGCAGGCAAGTAAGAAATAAGTTGTGGGCCATCAATACAGCTCCACATTGTTTACAAAATACTGGGTAACATGGAGATCTACTTGAAGAGATGCAGTGTAATTAAAGGGGAAATCAACCCCCAAATGTTGTTTACCATAATACGTTCCATGTAGCCCTACTAGTCTAAACGCAGCATTCTGATTAATATCCCGGCTCACCTGCTTTCTGAAGCCGAGCTATGATTTGTTGTTACCTGAGCCTTGAGCATCTGTGATGTCATTTTCAGTTGACAGCCAGTGGCAAAATGGCCACTGCCCGACAAGGACAAAAAAAAACAGTGGATTTTACTGCTTAACTCATATTCCACAAGCGTAGTATCAATCAGAACGCCGTGTTTAGACTAGTGGAGGTGTATGGAATATATTACTGTAAAGAACGTATTTGGGTTAATGTCCCCTTTGAAAGACAAGATGAAGAGGCGAAGAAGTGCCCTAACTAAACTCCTTAAAATGTTGTTCTTCCCACAAAGCAGATAGAATATATGCCTCACTAAGATGGACCTGAGAATGTGGAGCTGGGGCTTTCCTGTGTGCGTCATCCTCTTCCTCGTCTTCTTCCTCCTCGCTGATACCATCGTCTTCTGCGTTACCCCTGGCTGAAGCTTGCATTTGACCGTGGCTCTCCTCAAAGCTGCCATAGCTAAGAGGCAAGAGAGAGACAATACGAACTTGGACCGGCACACAAAAATGCTTTAAAATCTCAAAAGTCGCTACCGAATGCTTGCTTTAAAAATATTTGTCTGTAAAGTGACTCAAAGGCTCCTGGTACCTGACGTTACTGTCTTCCATGTGAGGTCCATCATCGACCCCTTCGTATGACATCATGCTCTCGTCCTCCATGCCCATGCGCGCCGTCTCCTGAGCTCGCCTTGGAGGTGGAGGACGCACGTCGACCTCTCGATCAGAGTCACTACCACTCTCCGATAAATGAATGGCTAAAGGAGTGGTGAAGAAAGATTGTACTTAAATGTTGTGAGTGATGGCTCTCTGATCCCTTTAGGTTTGCTTTACTGACAGGAGAATGGATTGTCGCCCTCCTCCTCACTGGCATCATCCTCTCCGTCGGACATGAGCAAGTCCTGATATAGCACGCTGGCATGGGTGAGGGGGTTGGACCTTCTGTCATTTTCCTCCTCCTGACGGTTGTGCATGCGTCTGCGAGGTGGCAGCAACATCTCCTCGTCGTCATCGTCATCCTCGAGATCTCCTTCTGCATCCTCTGCCTGCGAAGACAAGCACGGGCATGTCGTTTAAAGACCATTGTTTTAGGAAGGCGACGCTTTGTACGTCTTTAATTGCCGTTCCAATCTGCAGATGGAAATATGCACAGCTAAAGTGCACCGCAACATCCTTTATCTGCATCAAAATCTACCGCTTTATTCTTGAAGCTTTTCCCCATCGGTCCTCAAAGCTGAGTGGCCATTTATTTTTCACATAGTCATGAAAACTATCATCCTTGGTAGAGGTAATGCAAGCAATGCGGGACTAACAGGAGCAGGCGTTTTCGGTTTGCCGTCATCTTCTTCCTCAAAGCCTTCAATATCCACATCTGATTCTTCTTCCCTGAGCCTTCTGCCGTGCCGAGCCTGAGAAGCAGAGCAAGTTCAAGAGCACAGACTAAAAAGACTGAGCTGGTCTTACAACTTCTCAGTGAGAATGCCCAATGAACACATTCTCTACAAACTCAACACGCACGATAATCAGAGGATGGACTGGCGAGAGGTGGAACAAGTCTTATTACTGTCTCTCTCTCTCCATACCTGCCCCCCTCTCTTCTCAGAAGCAACCACTAGAGGTCCATCAGAGAAAAGGCCGCTGGGTGCCCTGGACGGGCCTGAAGCGCCGCTGTCAAACAGATCAGCAGGCTGGCCAACAGAGAGGCAAACACATGGCGGACAAGTCGGACAAAGTGACAAGAGTGAAGGGAAAAACACACCAAGTGGTTGAAAGGAGGCACTAGGCATGACTGCAAAACATGAAACGGGAAGAAATGAAGAGTCTGGGAAGGAGTGTTAGTAACAGGGAGGAAGTACTATAGGCAGGATCAGTATTGCAACATGTGGCAAAAAAAAATCCCCAAGAAAGATAAAGGTGCTGGATAAGGTGCCAGTGTGTTTCACATGGAAAGCACCACTTTCTGAACTAGTCCAGCAAAATGGCTACCCGGTTATCGTCATACCTGGGCTATGTAAGGCGAAGACGAGGCGAGCCTCAAGTCCATGAATGACCCTTTGGCTGTAGAGATGTCCTTATCGAGCTCATCATACTGGGTGCACAAACAAGAGAGGTATAACTATTACACTACAATGTCGATTTACAATTAAGGTGAACATTTGTCGTTCCTTGACCACGTTTTCATTCAAGTGAATCTATGCTGAAAGCGTACATTTTTTGCTGGAGACATTGTGTAATAAGAAAATATAACAAAATATTTGCAAACTGCGTCTGAATGAGCTTCCCCAAACATCCGGACCAAGTAAAACGCTGCCGTCTGAGTACCTGTGTCATATATGAACCGTGAGCCATCTCCAGACTCTCAAAGTCAGCGGCATCCAGAGCTGCCTCTTTGGCCGTGGAGATATCCTTTTCCAGCTGTGTCAAATGTTCATCATACTGGAGACACAAGAAAAGGAAATAACACTTTTTTTTTAATCCTGCTTAGAATAATTTAACCAATAAACCTTATTAACGTTGCTTCTCTACAGCAATATTGTGGCTAGCAGTGCATGCATAAATACAGATACGCTACCAGCAAAGGTCTGGACACACTTTCTCATGCTATAGAATGAGAAAGTGTGTATTAAATAGACAATGTAGATTAACCACTGAAAGGCTTAGGCCCATCTCAGCACTTATCTGTTCCTCAGACAAGCACAGTTGTGTCCCAGCATACCTCATCCAGGGTCTGTCTGCACACACTGATGATATCGAGTGCTGTCTTGGTGTATGGACTGTCGCGGCCTGTGAAAGACACACACACAAGAAATGATTATTCCATTTCTATTCGACACAACTCTGCTCAGAGTTCAAAGTCCCACAGCAGCAAATACTCTCACCGTTGTATTTGATGCTGTTTGTGTGGATGAGAGTGACATCTGAGAGGAAGGCGTCTCTGTTCTGGTACTTGTGCTTGGAGATGTTCTGTTGATTCAAAGAAAAGGAGACGTAGATATGTGGGGTGCATTTTTTAAAGGGTATAATCCCCCCACACACACAAAAAAATTGTATTGCTGCGGCCCTCACCTTGCGGATGGACTCCAGGTCCATCGGGTCTATAATCACCTTGTAATAATCAGGCACAAACTTTTTGTTGACAGGATGGTGGAACGGCCATGACTATAACAAAGAGGAAATGAGATGATCATTTATTAAAACCACAAACGTGCTCAGAGATTGCTGGGAAAGAACAACTTACGTCAGGAACAACCATCATTTTCTGCGTTACGATGTTGTCCAGGATGAAGGAGAAGGCCACCTGATCGTCATCATCAAGCAGAGGATTGATGGCTTTTTCGAGCCGAACCAGTCTGTCCTCCTTCTGTGAAGGCACACACAAACAGCTGAATGTTTTCAAGTTTTAAGGAACTTGACAGGCAGGAGAAAAACACGGCAGTCACACTTTACCTCTTTCAGCTTAGTATCACACAGATCCAGCATTGACTGTGCAACTTGCGTGATCGGATGCTTTGCTCCTAAAAAGATAAAACATCCCAACATACATGGTTTGAACGCAACAACAGCCCTTCTTTTTATTTATCCCAATTTCATAAAGGTGCAACTTAAGTAC